AATTCAAACCTTTAGGTCTGAGAAACGTGGCGTCTTGTGGGATATAGCTGCTACTGTCTTTCAGAGACGCCCTTCTGAGTGTAACAGCATTTGAAATGTAAACTAACACGTTTACATATTTCTTTAGGGCAAAGTTCTGTAAAACTCCTAAGACAAATCCTGTCTGTAAACACGTTTTTATATTAATTCATGGAGCAACAAAAATAGACCCTTCATGTCATAGAAATCAGTTATGTACCTGGCCATAAAGAAAATGATAATAAATTCCACAAAAAGATTTTATAATCCAGAAACTTTATAGCCCAATTAGAAACCAACCACAAAAATTTTTTTTGAACTTTGCTTAGGAATTAAGAAATAATCTAATACTCAGATCAAGAAGGAAATCAAAATTACTAGGACCAAGAAGTGAATATAGAAGGCCAGTAGATATGAAGTCAATATACAAAAATTAGTTGATTTCTATATACTAATAGCAAACAATTAGAAAATGAAAATTTGAAATACAATAGCAAACTGTCAAATATTTAGAAATGAATTCAGTAAAATAGGTATTTATTATAAAACATTGCTGAGAGAAATAAGACTCCATAAATGAAGAGATTTAGCGTATTTATGGATTGGAAGACTCAATGTTAAGTCAGTCTTCTTCATGTTGATCTACAGATTCAATGCAACTGTAGCCCCAAATTCCAGCAGGCTTTTTTTTGGGAAAGGGTTGCAAAAATTATCATAGAAGCCTTATTTAAATAGCCAAAGACCGGAAACACTCTAAATGTCCTTAAACCATAGAAAGAGAAGATAAAATATGATATATTCATATAATGGAATACTACACAGCAATGAAAATGAACCATGGATACATGCAACAACATGGATGAATCTCACAGATGTAGCGAGTGAAAGTAGTCAGACACAAGAATACATATTGTATGAATGCATTTATGTGAAGTTCAAAATCAGCCAAAACTATTTCTTGGTGATGATGTGAGAGTAGTGGTTATCCCTGGGGAGGACTCTTCTAAGATGCTAGAAATGTCATATACAGTATCTCGATCTGGGTAATAGTTAATGGAGGTGTGTGTCTACATAAAAACACTTCAGTGTATGTAAGTAAGGCTTGGCTGAATTTGGAAATGGAAAACATGGATTAGGCTTTTATTTTAAAGACATTATATTGTTAAGTTGGCTTGATGTGGTGAAAACAATTGAATGGTTACTGCAAAAACCTCAAATTGAAGAAGACAATTTAAAATGCACGTGCCTAGAACAGTCTGACTCTAGGAATGAAGTTGACTTGCCTCAGTCAAGGAGTTGGAAAATCAAGAAGTAACTAGAGTAAGATGAAAAATATTTTTCAGTCTAACAGAAGTGTGGTCGTGAAAGACAACATTAAAGGAATGAGGTTAAGTCTATCAAATTGGAAGAAGTGAGAGATTTTCATAGGAGTATGGTTGATATATCACAGCAGGTTTTCTTGTAGAAATTAACAGTTGATTCTTTATTTTATGTGGACATGCTCATGACTTAGGAGGGCCAAGACAATCTTGAAGAACAAAGTTGGAGAACTTGCTCTACTTGATTTCAGAACTAAGGAATTAAGCTAAGCAGTTAAAACAGAGTGGTATTAACGTAAGGATAGGTAAGTAGATCAATGGAACAGAATAGAAGATTGAGACGTAGACCCACATGTAATGGATCACTTGACTTTTGACAAAAGTGACAATGCAGTTTATTGGGGGAAAGGAGTATCTTTCAATAAATGGAGATGGAACAACTGGATATCTGTATGGAGAAAAAAATTAAACCTGGCCTCTACCTCACACCACATGCAAAAATCAATTTGAGATGGATAATAGACCTAAGTATGAAAGCTAAAACTGTAAAATTTCTAGAAGAAAATCTTCAATGTTTGGGGTAGGCAAATATTTTTTTTCAATGTGACATAAAAAATACCAGCTACAAAATAATCACAAATTGAACTTCATCAAAATGAAAAATTTTCACTCACCAAAAGACAGTATTTAAAAAGTGAAAAAGAAAGCCACCACTAAGAGAATATATTCTCAGTATATATGTTTGACAAAGAACTCATTTCCAGACCTAAAGAACTCCTACATATCAAACAACCCAACTTACAAAATGGACTAACTCTCAGAGAAGAGTCGTTAGTCAGTCCCCTCACAGAAGATGTCCAAATGGTCAGCCTTCACTGCATGCCCACCAGAAAGGCTAAATGTTAAGACAGACAATACCAAGTGTTGTGAGGGCGTGGGGCAACTGCAACTCTCATATATTGCTGGTGGAGTATAAAATGGCATAGCCACTTTGGAAAACTGTTTAGCTGTTCTTATAAAAACATAGTGCTAACCCGTGACCCAGAAAGTCCACTCCTATGTAGATCCTGAAGAAAAATGAACCCTCAAAAAGACTTGTACACCAATGTTAATGCAAATAGCAGCCTTGTTCATAATTGCCATAAATTGGAAACCAAAATATCCATTAACAGAATAAATTTTGAGATATTCATAAATCGAATATTACACAGTAATTAAAAAATTGATATACATAACATGGATGATTCTCAAAAACATGTTGAGTGAAAGATGCCAGAGAGAGTACATGCTGCGTTTTTTTGTTTGTTTTTTGTCTTTTTTGGAGACAGGGTCTCACTTTGTCACTCAGGTTAGAGTGCAGTGGCATCATGGTAGCTCACTGTAACCTTAAACTCCTGGGCTCGAGTAATCCTCCCACCTTGGCCTTCCAAAGTGCTGGGATTACAGGCATGAGCCATTGTGTCTGACCTACATACTGTTTTTTTTTTTTTTTTTTTGAGACAGAGTCTGGCTCTGTTGCCCAGGCTAGAGTGCCGTGGCATCAGCCTAGCTCACAGCAACCTCAAACTCCTGGGCTCAAGCAATCCTCCTGCCTCAGCCTCCCAGGTAGCTGGGACTACAGGCATGTGCCACCATGCCCAGCTATTTTTTCCATATATATATATTTTTTAGTTGTCCAGATCATTTCTTTCTATTTTTTAGTAGAGACGGGGTCTTGCTCTTGTTCAGGTTGGTCTCGAACTCCTGACCTTGAGCGATCCACCCGCCTCAGCCTCCCAGAGTGCTAGGATTACAGGAGTGAGCCACTGAGCCCAGCCCACACTGTTTTTAAATGATGTTCAAGAATAAGCAAAACTAACCCATGGTGATAAAAGTAAGAATAGTGGTCACTATAGTGGTCACAATAATAGTTTTCTCTTGCCTGTGAGAAACTCTGGTGTGCTGGAAATGTTCTGAATCTGAATTGGTGGTGGTTACATAAGTTGTACATTTAAGATATGTACACTTCGCTGTATGTAAACCATAACTCCAATAAAGAAAATGGCAAAAATGGAAATTACAGATTATCTAGAAAATTTTAAGAACACTTCATATAAACCCTAATGGATACAGCTAAAGCTATACTCAGAGGAAAAATTTATAGCCATTAATATTTTGATTATTACAGAAACGTCTGAAAATAAACTGTATTTAATTCAATATACTAACGATAAGATGAACAAAGACAGAATTAATAAAGAAGAATGTTGAAATTAAAGAAGTAGAAAACAAAAAAGGAGTAAAAGGAAATGCTATTTCTTTGAAGATATGAATAAAATGGAGCAATTAATGAGTTTAGGGATTATCTGGGTTCCAGCAGTGGTTCTTGTGACTTCCTGTCTTTAAACTTTGGTGTGTTCGGCAAAACCATACTAATGGAATTTGATGCAGGGTGGATTCATTTAATTAAAATTAAAAACAAAATCTGTTGACCATAGATATCCTCAAGGCACTGTTTTATAACGTGACAGAAAAGACAAAGTTTAAGAATTATGATTTTGGCTGCTGTTTATCCAGCAGATAGCAGGTGCTGGGCCGTTTACACAAATTAGCTCATTTTAGGTGCGCAATGGCTCCTGCAGGGTAGGTACTGTTCCCCATTTTGGAGATGAAGTTACCCCAGGCTGCCAGCTCAGATGTGCCCATTAATTCAGGCTTGACTCAGGCCCCTCCAGGTCAGGAAGGTATGAAGAAGCCCTCCGGATTCAGAAGGGGCAGGGGCGCCTTCGCAGGTGCAGGTGGGTTCTGGGTGTCCGGGAGTGAAGGCCGGAGGCGCAGTCCTGTTAAGCCTGCAGGACCCAGCTGGCAGGTGCCGGGGGCGGGCGTGCTGGGTCTCCCCTCTGCGGGCAGGCGGCGAGCAGCCACTTGTGCCGGCCGAGCCGGGCAGCCCCGCGCAGCGCCCCCTGGGCCTGAGGGCTGGCGGGTGGCGGGGACGCGCGCGGGAGAGCGGGGGCGCGCGGCGCTGCGAGGCCTGCGCGCCGAGCCGGGGGAGGCATGCGGCGGGCCAAGAGTGCGGCTCCTGCCGCCAACCCGCGCGGGCAGAAGCGGTCCGGGGCCGCCGCCCCGGCTACCAACACAAGCCGCACACGGCGCTCGGCGAGCCAGGCCGGGGGCGGGGACCAGGCGGTGGCGAAGCAGCCGTCGCCGAAGCGGCGGCTGAGGAGTTCGTTGCCGCGGGCCCAGGAGGCGGGCCCCGGGGAGCCGCCGCCGGAGCTGGCGCTGCTCCCACCGCCGCCGCCTCCGCCGCCGACTCCGGCGACACCGACGTCCTCGGTGTCCACGCTGGACCTGGGCGAGCAGCGGGAGCGCTGGGAGCTGTTCCAGAAACGGCAGAGGCTCACCTCCGAGGGCGCTGCCAAGCTCCTGCTGGACACCTTGTGAGTGCGGCCGGGCCGGGCGCGCGGGAGCGGGCGCCACGCGACGCCCCTCAGCGCGGAGTCGGGCTCGCCGCCCGCGCGCGTCTCTGCCTGCGTGCGGGCCTCGGCCACTCGTTAGTCCTGCGTCTCCCGCGTAACGTAGCCGACACGTTTCCCGTGCGGCTCCGGGGTTGGTCCCTAATTCTGAGGGCGCGTGGCTCGGTAGGGCAGTGCGGCCGGGACTGGAAGGGGCTTTGTCCGGAGCGTGTCTGAGGGCGCGCGCCGCCGTCCCGGACAAAGGGTCTTTCCCGGCCGCAAGCGTCGTACTCGGGGACGTTGTCCTGTCGCCCGAAGAGTGCGGGGCCTTTCCCAGTGAAAAGATGAGAAATCCCATCATCTTCCTTATACCCGCATCTCTTTTTGTATTTCCACACGTGTTTTTTGGGGGTGCGCGGCAGGGAAAGGTAGAGGGGTTGAGAGAAGCGTGAGTAGTTTTGAACCAGCCAAGAAGCCAGATCCCCTTATTGTTCCAGGCACTGCCCGGGAGGGGGCGGTTATTGATCCAGGAGAGAAGCGCGCAGAGAGACGCTGGGGCCTCGCGGGGCCGGGGGAGAGGCTTTTATGTTCTCCACCAGCTCGTGCTCCCGGGGGTCTCCCTCTCCTCACTCCAGCCTCTTAGATGGTCACAGGAGCATTTCAGAGTGTCCGTGATTTAGAAAAGACCTATGACTCTGGCAAGAGCTGCTTTCTGTTCTCCAAATGTGATCTGGATTCCTGCCCCGGAGAACCAGTTGTGCTATAGAGAATTATTTTAACACCCTAATAATATATCTTAATATCAATTATTTTATGAATTAAAAAGAACAGTCAAAACACTAGGAAAAAACCAAGACAAGAATAACCTAACAATTGCATAACAACCTGAAAATTACTTCTTTTCTTGAACGAAAAAAATGTTCCTTTGTCCTTGTTCCAGAAGAAATTTCTCTTAGGATGAATCTTCCTAGAAATGCAATACGTATTTGGTTTTCTGTGTCCTTCACTTTTTGACTTACCACCTCGGACTATAAACTGAACATTTAAAAAAATACTCATCCATGAAACATTTGTTTGAGCACCTATGGTGTGCCAGCTACTGCTAGGTAAAGAGGATATAAAGATCCTTAGGAATGTAAAACTCAAATTTGAGGTAAATTTTTACTTTAAAGCAAACTGATAAATGATCAAGAAAAATTTAAGATGTTGACATAAAAAGATGAAATGTTTTTCACCCGTCAGGTGCATTTATTTTTTTTAAGTCCACTAAATTATATGCAAAAAGTATGTATAACACTGTACCATTTTTGTTAAAATATTGTATAGAGAAAAAGTTTGAAGACATATAGAATATATAGCAAATAGTTAACTGTGGATCCTTGTGGGTGTAAAGATGACAGAAGACTTTCACTTTGACACTGTCAAATATTGTAATATTTGTATTTTTTACAATAAACGTGTCCAGAAAATTTTTTTTTTTTTTTTTTTTTT